TCTTTCCCTGGGGTCAGAGAGGTCAGTTAATTCATTAACTAATGAAATCCCTAATTCAACAAACATTTACTGAAGATGACTGCTGTCCAGGGATGTGCTAGGTGTGCAGCAAGGAGTGGGGGTGGTGAGTGCCTCAAAGTGCAAGTGGAAAGCAAGGGCAAAGATGATGGGTCAGGAGTCTGGCTCAGTGAGACGTCTACCGCGTCAGGAGTCAGGAGCTCTGACGCTGGCAACCTGGTCAGTCGTTTTCCCTCTCTAGGTCTCAGTTTCTCAATCTGTAAATGGGGAGTTGGGTGACTAGTTTATCTCCAAACTTCCTTCCATCTCTGAGATTCTAGGACTCTTGTATTTAGAGGAGTGACTTGAGAAGCTGTTTTGGGGTGTCAATGCCTAGGGATGCCCACTTCCCACAGCCCCAGACCAGGGATGGAAGGAACACTCGGCTGAGGCCTATGGAAGAGCTGGGGGAGTCAAGACACCGGGGTTCCTGATTCGGCTTAGACATCAAATGTTCTGTGTCTTTGAGTAACTTACATAACCTCTCTGGACTTCAACTTCACTCACCACCAAGTGGGTATGATAATCTCAGGCCTGCCAACCTCACCAGAGCTTCCTGAGGAACAATGAGAAGGCAGTAAAAGGGCTTTGTGGGGGCACTGGTGATAAAAGTGATATCATCTCCCATCTCTGAGCACCTACTATGTGTCAGGCTTTCCACCCACGAGATCATCATCTCCTGAGTTTATGGATGATGGACCAGAGGCACCAGTCACCAGGGACCTGAGATTCCCGCCTCTGCCGGCCCTGCAACACTGCACACGGCTGAGGTGCTGCCATGATTTCTGGGCTTGGACAGGCAATGGGGATAGGGCTCTACCCTCCAGTCTGACCACCCCAGTCCCCCAGCCTAGAATGACTCCCCCACTTCAGAGAAGCTCGCATCCCCCTTAAACCCTTGCTTAGCCCAAGCCCCACCTGAGAGCTTGTGGGAGCCCTGGCCTAGAGTAGGGGCTCTCAAACCTGGGTGTGCATCAACTCCCCAGAGTTTCCAATTCAGTAGGTCCCAGTGGGGGTCAAGAGGTGCATGTCTAACAAGCTTCCAGGTGATGCTGCTGCCGCCGCTGTTGGTGCCAAGAACAGACTTTGAGGACCACTGGCCTAGGGGACTGGGGATTTAAGCGGGTGAAAAATAGCACCCCAGGGCATGGCCGCCCTGGGGAGAGGCCCTGTGCCCCTGGGACAACCACACGCTCTAATTAGACTCCGCTGATCAAGCAAAGCTGCCTAGAGTCTGCTGCTGTCTGAGGGTGGGAGGATGATGGTAGGAATCTGGAGTTAAATGACTTGGCTGTGAACTCACAGGGTTGCCTGTGGCCAGGCGAGGCCCCGAAGCTGGGCTCCTAATCCCCCGTGAGGAAGATGCAGGGTCCACAGGGCAGGAGCCCTAGAGCCTCAGGCCTGGACACTCTTCCCGCCCAAGAGGCCCTGCTGGCCACCTGCTCAGGAGGCCTTCACGTTCAGGCCCTTCCCCTTCTCCATTAGAATGCCCCTCTCTGTTTCCATCCTGGGAGAGTGGAGGGAAGGAAGGGAGGGAGGTCTGGGCTCAAGTCCCAAGTCTGCCCCATCTTGGCTAAGAGGCTTGAGAGGCAGGTGATTTCCCTCTCCATGTCTCATTTCCTCCCCTGTAAAATAGGAGGACACACCTCTACTCGCCAAACGTTGGGGATCAATAGATAGGAATGTGCTTTAAACTGCAGAGTCTGCACAGCCAAGCACTTAAGAATCTGGGCTCTGCAACCGGGCCTGGGGACCCAGATTGTATGCAGGGCCTGGGTCAGTCCACAAACCCTGCTGCCCGCCCCTGGTGCCTCATTTCATGGGGCCAGTTAGGAGGGTAGGAATAGGGTAGGCCCCAGGCTACCTACCTCTCTGCTTTGGCTGTCTTGAAGTCTATGATTTCTCTCTGAGATTTAATAATCATTTTGCCTGCATGTAATTTGGGATTGTCTTGGAGTGCAGGGAAATAATTATATACACAAAAGGAAAGAGATGGGGAGAGAGAGAATGGAACCACAGAAATCACAGAACCATAGAACCTTGAAGCCAGGAGGGACTGGAGACACTGCTGAGACCACCCTTCCCATTGTGCTTGCTGACGGGGACTAGAGGGGCTGAGCTGAGACTGGAAGTCAGGGGTCAAGGATGGGAATCACCTGCTCTACAGGGAGCAAGAGTGAGCACTAGAGAGGAAGGGCAGGGCTAAAGGCTGTGACAAAACCTGCTGGGGGCCCCAGGCCCTGTCCCAAGGGTGTCTACAACCTCTGTCCTGGCCACAGCCTCAGCTGCCCGCCCCCCGAACATGGCACCCATCCAGTCTCCCCACTGACAGCAGCTTCCTGTCCAGCTCCTGCTGCATCCAGGGAACTTCCTAATCATCCTGCAGGAACACATCACCTCTCTGCTTCCAGCACTTCACTGCTCCCCAAACTCCTGAGCCTCCCAAACACAACCCCACAGCAAATCTGGTCACAGGTCCTGTTCTCTCCAGCAAGCAGCCTCCTCCCTGCCAGGCCTGCCCCCTCACCTGCCCAATTCACTCCACCGAACTCACTTGTGCCTCTGGGCCGCACCTGGAATGTCTCCTTTCTTTCCCACTCGTTCCCTCTCACTTCCATAAGGAAAGTCTTCCCTGACCCCCAGTTGAGGACAGCCTCCCTGTGAAAGGCTCTGAAAGTACCCTGCACCTCTCCTTATTTTCCAGTAGTTATCACTGCTACCGTTTTGTGTGCAGATGTTATAAGGTCGTTGACGTCTCTCTCCTCACTAGACAGGAAGCCCCATGAAGGACAGGACTGGATCTGTCTTGCCCACCATTGCATCCCAAGTTTGGCACAGGGATTGGCACATTCTTTACAAATATAGCTTTTGAATGAGTGGATGAGTTGAGACAGAGGGCTTAATAAAACCACTTGGGGCTTCTTTTTCGAGAAAAAGTTCCATGGGCCTGGACACCCCAACACTGCCCGTCCTAGCCCGCCCTCCAGCCGTGGGTGAGACCCCTCTCCAAAGAAAGCATGTCGGTGTTCCCTAAGGCCCCAGGACTGAGGACCCGGGAGCCCCAGAACCTGTTTATCTCCTCCCCCTTCACCTCTGGCCCCTTCAACTCCCTTGACAAGCTGCTACCTCCTTCCCTCCCTCCCAGCTCCCCGGGCAGCTGATTACATAACTGGAGATTCTGCATTATTTATGACCACTGATTATTTTTTAATTCTTGATTACGTTATTTATTGTCTTCCTGGAGGGCTGTGGAGTTGGGGAAGGGGTGGCGGGGAGCGAGGTGACCGTGCGTGATTCATGATGTTCATCCTGCAAGTTGGCGTAACTGGTTGGGGAGTTCCTTGAATCTGTCTGGAGGAGGAGAATGCAAAGGGAAAAGGGAGGAAAGGAAGGCGAGAAAAAAAATAATGGGAAAAAATCCGCACAATTCTTGCTGAGCTGCGGGTGATGGAGCTGACCCACTTTGGCACAGCTCTGTGGTCCCTAGCCTCTCCTGCTCCAGCTGCTTCCTGGCTGGGACACATTTATCTCATGCCTGAACGGCCCTTGGCTTTCCTTGCCACCTCATACGCAGCGCCTTGCCGAGGTGACCGCACAGTCACCACCGGGCCTGCTCCCCATGAAAATTGGGTGGGGGGATCTTCCACCACCACCCCTGGCTGTGAAATGTTTGTGCCCACCCCTCCATCCTCCTGAGGTGTTCGGACCTAGGTGGGCAACTGTGCCCTTAAGTTATGTCCTACCCAAGAGTCAGTGATGATGTGAGAGACACTGGCCGATCAACACAAGAGACGTTTTGAGCCTCCATGCTGAGCGATATCTTGGGGAGGGGACAACTGAGGAGGAAGAGGCCAAGTAACCTGCTCAAGGTAAGCTCAACATCTGAGATGCCAAAGGCAAGCCCTTTATCCCTGGCCTTGGGGGCTCCCAGTTGATAGGAAACAGGGAGAGCAGCGGGGAGGCAGACTCCCACCCCGAAACACAACCAGGAGATTCCTGGAGAGCATGTGGGATTCTCACTGAGGACAAAATCCAAATTCCATACTGTAGCCTGCAAGGGCTCTGTGTAATCTGACTCCCTGCTCCCTCTTTGACTTCCTGCTTTTCTCCTAGTTCACTCCACTTCAGCTGCACTGGCTTCCTTGCTGATCCTGAACACGCTGAGCCCATTTCTTCCCCAGAATCTTTGCACAGGCTGTTTCCACTGCCAGGAAGGCTCATCCCCTAAATACCACCCTCACTTCCTTTGGTTCTCTGTTCAAAAGCCGTCTTATTGGAAACCCCATTCATATCCCCATATCACTGTCACTCTCTATTCCCTTTCCTTGATGCAAGAGGATGGGACCGCCTACTGCACGCAGGAGGTACTAAATGGTGCCAGCCAGGAGGTCGGGGTCCTGGCTTTGACCTCCCTGATGATGGCTAAGAAGCTGATGTGACTCCAAAAGAACAAAGCCATACACGGAGTGAGGCGCTGGCCAGTGCTAGAATATTTCATTAATAATATCTAACAGATATGGAGTGAGTTTTGTGCCCATCACTGTGCTAAGTACTTTATATATAATATCACATTTAATTCTCACAACAACCCTGGGGCTGGGGGGTGGGGGGTGGGGAGTGTAAAATTTGTTATCCTCATTTACGTGGGAAAACAGAAGCACAGAAAGGTAAAGAAATTTTCCCAAGTTCACACAGCTAGGTAGGGGGCAAATCTTGGATTTGAACCAGAGACATCTGGCTGTGGAGCCCATGCTCAGCCCGTAGGCTGTGCTGTGTCTCCAAATTAAGATCCACAGAATTCTGAGGAGCTTAGAGAGCCTGCTGTGATTGGCCTGGCATTCTGGAGTATTGGGGAACCTAGGAGAGATGAGGGCTAATTAATGATTGACCGTCATATCCCTCTGCAGCACAATTCTAGCTTTCAAAGCATTTACGTTCCTCACCTCACTTAGTCCATTAAACTACTTTTCCCATTCATGGGACAGAACCTGTTCCTCATCGCCTGGGAGGCCAATGGCAGAGCTGCAGCAGGGGTTTGGAAGGGTAGGGGAGGTATGGGACAGCAAACTCCAAATCCTTTAGGGGTGTGAGTAGGTGTTGGCCCCCTTACCCCATGCCAGACCCTGATGAAACCCTAAGATCACACTGAGGTGAGAATGATCATCATCCCCATCTCAGAGGAGCAGACTGAGGCTCAGGGGCCTGGGAAGGGAGTGCATTGGTGTCCCTCGTCTTTCTATGAACTTCAGGCTGTATGCTCAAGAGGGTAAGGAGAGTCTGCCATGATCAGTGGTGTCTGGGGCTGGGGAAGGGAGCAGCAGAGAGAGGAGAATGACAGAAGGGGACACAGCTAAGCCCTTCCTCTCTGCTGGCCCTGCTCCTTCATCAAGCATCCTGTGCTACTCCCCAGCAGTCTTGCATGTGAATCTTGTCTTCATATCTAAGTGCTTTGCCCCCCCCTGGCATGAGAACCCCATTGGTGAGCCCTGAGCTGGTACTGCCCGGGGAATGGGGTGTGATGAGGGAAAAGTGTCTGCCACCCTCTCGACTTTGGGCCCATCCATACCCCCAAGGGAAAATGCCATACTAAGCTACTGAGGAGGAGCGCCTGACAGATCCAGCTTTACGGCCCCCGTGGAGGACCAAGATGGCAGGTATCAGGGAGCAGGGGAACTGAAACCCTTTACTCCAAACCAGAGCTTGGCGCCCCCCACTCAGTAACCGCATTCCTGACAAATCCCATCCAACAGGAAGTCAGTTATGGCATCTATTCTTCTGTCTGGGCTTCCCAGAGCCTCACCCGCTTTCTATAACACTTCCTCTGCCCATCACCCCATGTCCAGACCCTGCCTGGGGGATGAGGGAGCTCTGAGGCCTGGTGACCCCTCCCAGCTGGGTGCCATTGGCAGCGGGCAAGCTGTGGCATACGGGGTAGACTCTGGTTGCCGTAGCAACCTACCCAAGTCTTGGGTGGAGGCACATGGCCTACAGGGTGTGTGCGGGGAGGGGACTCATCTCTCCCTGTCCTAGCTCAGGCCTCTAGGCTGCAAATCCTGGGAATCTGAAGCTCTGCTGTTCGAGACATGGGAGTAGGTAAGTGTGTGTGCTGGGAAGGGACATCTAAAAGATCTGCAAATGAATCCTAGCACTTCTGAGCTCCCTGCTTCACCCCTAAAGGGTGCTCCTCAGAGCATCACAGCATGAGCATAAAGTATCACCTCTAGAAGACCCCTGTCAAAATGCAAAGATATCAATTAGCCCACCTGCTGAAGCCCCAGAATAGGCAGCAGGAACCTGAGTTCTAGGCTTAGTTCTGCCACTGGTAGGCTGTGTGACCTTCGACAAGCCCCTATCCCTCTCTGGCCTGTTTCTTCAACAGCAAACAAACAGGGGTGGTCTGGATGACCTGGGAGATGCCTTCAAGCTCTGGATGGCTATTCGGGGAGGGGTGGCAGATGCCTGGAAGATGCTCAGTTGGGAGTAGGCTCTGAGCTTACTGAAGCTGCCTCCCAGGCTTAGAGTCAATCCTGGCTCTTTCTGGGCAGGCTTGCTGGGGCATAGGTCCCATGCCCCTGCCCAAGACTGAGACTCTGGACAGTTCCCATGGTCCTGATAGAACCACAGAGCATCTGAAATAAGATGAGGGTGGAGAGAGTCAAAGAGGGGACTGTAGTCCTCTGGACCAATGAGGTTGGGAGAGGAGGGGTTGCTCAGGGGCATCTGGCCTTTGACCTCCAAACTGTATTCTCAAAGATGTTCAGCCCAGACCATGGCCAGCCCCGTCCATGGGAAGAAGCACCACACTTCTCTCTACCTGCAGCAATAGCCATTCCCACCTCCTGAGAAAGGACTTCCTAGTACGCTCCTCCATGAGGCTGCCTCTGGGCAGAGGGGCTGCCCTGTCCAACCCCTGCTTCTGTCCCAGCATTTCCACAACCCCCTCTACTCCGAACATGACTCCCTTGCAACACCCTCTGCTCCTTGGCTCTCAGGCCAGGCTAGAATGCCACTTTCCCAGTCAGGATTTGGTCCACCATCACCCCCTCTCCCCAGTCTTCCTAGCGCCCCCATCTTCCCCACACAGCTGGCTGGGGAGAGCTCAAGCCCATAACTCCAGTTCAATCACTCTCCCTGCCATCTCTGCAGGGACCCTGGTTACAAGAAGTTGAAATTTGGCTAAAGCCCACCTGGCTGGCATAATGGCACCCAGCAGGCAAATTTAGGCCAGCGGCTCAGAACGCTGGTCATGCATTTTGGGCTTGAACACAGCCCAGGGGGCAGGGCTGAGGACATATGTACCTCATTACCCTGGTGATGTGGGAAGCAGTAATTAAACCGGGCTCCGCTTAGAGAGACAGAGAGGGATACATATCCCAGGATCTCTCGCTGACTTTTCAGCCTTGGCAAAAAAACATTCAGAACTGTGGGACGGGGACGCATACCTTCAGAGGAGATTCCTGCCCCTGCCAATGTACTGATACCCACTAGCAGGCCCCTAGACCCATTCCCACCTCAGGGCAGGGAAGACATAGCCGGCTTTAATTTTTCCAGGATCAAGGGTTCTAAGTAACTGTGTGATCTCTGGGGAACGCTCTGAGCTGGGCCTTGAGCAGCGAGGACTGCCTCAGTAGAGCCATCCACACTCTCCCAGGGCCATTTATGAGCCAGTCAGAGTCTGGGAGGCAGATGGTGGGGTCAAAGGTCAGCTTGGGTCCCAGAAGAATGTCTTCCACTAAGAGGATGCTGTGGGATTCATTCCTTACTGGCCACCATGCAGCTCTGAACCATGGGCCCACAACATGCTGCCCAAGCAGTCTCGGGATCACTGAGGCCCCTTCAGCCCTGGGGTACAGTGAGATCTTCAGCGAAGCAGATTTGGGGAAAGAAGAACAAGGAGAAGGAAGTACCCAGGAGAGTGACCCAGGTGCGCACAGCTTTGAGCGCGCGCGCACACACACACACACACACACACACACACACACACACACATACGTGTGAGTACGTTTCCTGGGCCAGGCCCAGGAAAACCGGTCTAGGGGCTGCCTGGCCCCTCACTTACCTCCCTTAGCTCCTTGGCCACCTCCTTGAGCTCCCGCAGTATATCCTCCAGCTGCCCAATGACCATCTTCATGCGCTGTCGAATCCGCTCCCGCTCGCCACCACTGCTGGGGTCATCACTGGGCTGCCCGAGGTCCGGGGTGCCCCGAATGTTCATCCTTTACCACGTGGCTGCAGGCCTGCCCATACTCCCCCCAGCCGGGCACACGCTGCGTCTGCCTCCACGGAGCCCCCCTCAGCTGGGCAGAGCTCCACATCTTAACGGCCCCCTAGCCCACCCTGGCCCTGGGTGGCCCTCACCCAGCCCCTGCCCCCTGCCACCCCGCCTCCTCTACCTCTGGGTGGGGAATGGGACACCCAGAGGGAGACAGAGTCTGACCAAGGGGGGGTCAAGGTGAGGACACAGGAGAGCAGAGGGAGGGGCCTTGGGTCTCAGGAGTGGCCTCTAGGACTTGAAGTGCCTGTGGGTATGCTGAGCTGGACACAGAGGCAGGGGGATGACTCTGCAGGGACTATGGGTAAGAGATGGCCCTTGGGATGGGCGGAAGGCAGCAGTAATCCCCTCACAACTCCTAGGAAATTGCAAAGGCAGAGGTCTGGAGATGCAACTGACACCTGCAGAGGAATGGTGGCTGGGGTCTTCCAGATGTGGGTGGCTCTGGGGAGGGAGCTGGATTGGAGGAGGGCAGCCCCCTGCAGAGAGAGCGAGCCTGGCGTCAGCCCTCCCAGGTTGCAGCACCCGCCGGCAACGCTGCTGCCTTCCTCCTCACCCCAGCCTGCACCTTTCCTCGCTGGGGATTTGGTTTTATTTATTTATTTTTTTGTAGGGAGGGATGATGGAGGCAGATGCTCTATAGCACAGCCCCTCCCCTAAAGGGAAAACAGGAGCCCCTGCTTTAGAAGCTGAAGTCCTCAGCCTGCCATGGGGCACCCTGCCCTGGCTCTCCCCAACGCCCCCCCACCCCAGTCAGGCCTGGCCCCGCTGGTTCACTGGAAGGCCTCTCCAGACATCCATCCTCCCTCCTAGTGCCCCCGGGGTGCCCTCGTTCCCCGCTGGACCTTCCCTTCCCCTGCCCCGCCTTCCGTGAGAACCCCGGCTCTGCTCCCGGACTCACCAAGGCGGGGAGTGGGGGCACTGGCCTTCCGCGCAGCGTCGGGGGCCAAGTCCCAAGGCGAGGTTGGGGGGCCCCCAAGGCTCCCTAGGGCGGGCTTCTCTCTCTGGACCCTTCGGTCCTTGGCCTCAAGGAGGTCCTCAGAGCCGCCACTGGAGACATCTGGACGGTGGGAGGGGGCGGGGCCTCCACGCTCCAAGGAAGAGGCCAGGAAAAATCTCACCCAACCCCCGCCGGGCTCTGGTGGGGAATGAGCAAGGGTCCGGCGGGTCCGGGGCTCTGAGGCCACAGGTGAACCGGGCACAGGGCGACCGAGGCGACGCCGGTCCGGTCTCAGCACGCAAGCCAAAGTCTGAGGGATCGGAGGGCGCCGGGATCCCTTCAGCCCACGCCCGGCATTCCCGGGGCTCGGCACCGTCCTGAATTCGCTCTGTCCAGTCCAGATCGGCCGGCTCCGGGCTCCGCCGGGGTCTGCCCTGCCCTGCCCGGAGTGAGCTGGCACCCGTGGGCGCCCGGGGCGCGCTCAGCCCGGACCCGGAATGACCGCGCTCCGGCACCTGCGGCGTCCGGAGCGGCCGCGAGGGTCCGCTCAGTCTAGCCCCGGGGTTCTCCGGGGGCGACAACGCTCTCGCGGCTCAGTCCACGGTCGGAAAGGTCCGGAATCGCCGGGCCCCGGGGGGAGGGGCGGTGTTGGCCGCGGGGACCAGGTCACCGCCGTGCCGGGCCGAGGGAGAGCGGGGCAGGGGGCCCGGCCGGGCTGGGTCTGGCGGCCGGGCGCGGGCGGGAGCGGCGCCGGGCGGAGGAGAGGAGGCGAGAAGAGCAAGAGGAGGAGGCGAGGCGAGGCGAGACGAGGGGAGGGAGCGCGCGGCGGGCCCGGCGGGCCGGGGCGCACGGGGCTCGCAGCTCCCCGGGCGCCCGGTTGTGCCCGTGTGGCCACCGGGCGCCGGGTCGGGCTGGGCCTCCCCCGGCCGCCTCGCCCCGCCCTGCCCCGCCGGGCTCCGCGGGCCTGGGCCCGCTTCCCGAGCGCCGCGCCGCCCGCGTCCCGGCAGCCCCCGGCCCGCCCCGCCGCCCCCCGCCCGACTGGCCGCCCGGGCGGGCGCTGGCTCCCTCAACGGCCGCCCGGCTCGCTCGGCTCCTCTCGCCTCGGCGCTGTCAGGGAAGGGGCCGGCCCCGCGCGCCGGGAGGGAGCTTTTAAAGCGACACACACGCCTCCCAGCGCCGAGCGTGCGAGCCGCGGGGTGTCGCCACCCTGGGGACTGGGAAACGTCCAGCGCTTGCGGGGCTGGAGGCGGGCTCGCCGGGGTGCACTCCTGTTGACCTCGGGGCGCGGAGGGGCAGCGGGTTAGGGGCTTACTCAATTCCTTCCTACCTTTCCATAAGCCCCCATTGCCCCTTCCCCCCGGGCTTCCCTTTTGGCTAAATTTCCCGCATCCAGGCCCTGCCCCTTCCCCCATCATACCTAAACTACTCCCAGACGTTGCCTTAAGTCAGATTCATTAAGAAAATAGAATACTGACAATCTTTTCTGAGCACCTACTGTGTGCCAGGCTCTGGGCTGGATGGGGCTGGAGTTGGAGATTCTGCAGATGACAGGAATGCATTAGACACAGGTCACTTTGTTTAGTTATTCATCCATTTACTCAACATTTATTCAGCACCTTCCGTGTACCAGACCCCACGCTAGACTCTGGCGTCTTGGGAAGGAAAAGCAACACTTCAGGAAGCTCACAGCTTGTGAGGACACTGCTGAGTAAACTCAGGGGTGGTAAACACAGGGCAAAGGCAAGTTCCAGAAGCAATGGTAGGGGACGGGGAGGGTGGGAGCAACCCAGGCCAGGGGCTGGCAAGCTCTCCTTGAGACAAGCCCTGAGCTGAATCTCAGAGGATAAGTAGGAGTTACCCAGGTGACTGTCAGTGTGGGGGAAGTGTCGGTGAGCATTCCAGGCAGGGAGGAGGGTGAGAGCAGAGGCTCAGAAGCAGAAGTGAAGGGGGGCGGGGGGTTGAACCAACTGTGGCCTTTTAGAGATAACCATTTTGACAGCTCTGTGGAAAGTGGATTTGAGGAAGACCAGATCCCGAGAGACCCAGAGGCCATGGTTAGAAGCTTGGATTTTGTCCTGAGGTAGAGGGAAGCTATGGTGTTAGGGAGAAACCCGGTCCTGCTCACCTCTCAGGAGATCCCTCTGGGGCTTTGAGGATGATGGATCTGGGGGCACGGACACTGGCAGGAGACCAGTTAGGAGGCTCTTACAAGAATCAAGCTGAGAGAGGAGGGGCCTGCATGGCAGTAGGAATGGAGAGGAGGCGATGTTTTGAGAAATAATTTAGTAGAACATGGGAGGATTTGGAGACTGGTTGAACTTGGAGAGGGAGTGGGAGTCCAGGATGCCTCTGCTTATAGCTTGAGAGACTGAGAGATGGTTGTGCTACCCACTGACTTAGAAGAACAGGTCTGGGGTGAAGATGAGGCATCTAATTTGGGACAGGTGGAGATACTCTGAAGACAGTTGAGTATATGATCTATGCCTGGGCTTGAGAGTATTTTTTTTTTTTTAATCATCATTAGAGGGGGCTGAAATTAACCGGGAAGCCTGTTTAGACCAGTAACAAAAGCAGTAGGTCAGGCTGGAGCCTTGGAAAATAGTCCCTGAGAAAGATGGAGCTGGAGTGGTCAGGGAAGTAGAAGAACGGGGAGAGTGGGCATCATGCAGACTCAGGAGAGGATTTGGAGGAAGCAAGTGCTCCACAGTGTCAAAGGCTGCAGAGAGCAGCTGTAAGAGAAGGAATGGAAAGTATCTATTGTCCTGGTAATAGGAAGCCAGTGGTGGTGTGGCAGGGGCAGGGTTTTTTGGTTTTTTTTTTTTTGGTTTTGGGGGTTTTTTTGGTGGGGAGAAGGGGAGAGGAGGCAGGTTGTTGGGCACTGAGGGCTGAGTGGTTGGTGAGAAATAGGAATTAGTGAGTATAGGTGACATTGTCAAAAGTTCAGATGACAAGGGAGTAAAGATCTTGAACTAGAGGCAGATGAAGGGTCAAGGGAGGTGGGACTGGATGGCGGTTTGAGGCTGACCCACAGGGGGCTTGAATTTCAGGGATGGTGATGTGTCACGGGTACTAACGGTTTCCCTTGTTCTCCTAGTTCTCTCAGAGGTATGTTCACAGGGGTCCTCTGGAGGCACTGGGTCCTCCAGAAGCTATGAAGGTGTGAATTCAGCTCCTGGGGTGGGGGAGATGTTCTCCTGGGAAGGTGGATCCAGAGGGCCCACAAATCACTTTGTTTAAAATTTGTGGTAAAATACATATTACAAAAAATTTACTATCTTAATGATTTTTAAGTGTACAGTTCAGTGGCATTAAGTGCATTCACGTTGTTAGGCAACCATCACCACCATCCATCTCCAGAACTCTTTTCATCGTGCAAAACTGAAATTCTGTACCCATTAAACATTAACTCTCCATCCCCCTCCCCCCACCCCTGGCAGCTAGTACCATTCTACTTTTTGTCTCTATGAGTTTGACCAGTGTAGATACCTCATATAAGTGGAATCATACAGTCCCACCAATCACTTTCACGGAAGCTATGATGTTAATAGATTGCCAAAATAAAACATGGACTGTGCCTGAGAAAACAAAATGAGTTTCTTATCTTAGGTCCATGGAACCATCTGCCCACGTCCAGGATGGGGGAGGTATATTTCAGCTTGGGAGTGTTAGGAGAGATTGAACTCAGTTTGAAAGGATGGGATGTGACTACTTAATACCTAATTGATCTTGGGTTGCGTTAATACAAGTATGGTGTTTAGAAGAAGAGAGGTCACATTTCTTCTGTCCTCTGTGTGGATCAAACTATGTCTAGGACCCCATTTCACTGGGTATGTCCACAGGAGGGCAACCACAGTGGAGGAGGTATGTGTGGGGAAAGGGAGGACTGGTGTGTATGTCCTGTGAAGGAGAGTTAGGCTGGTCAGGGAAGGCTGGAGAAGAGGGGTCTCAGGAGAAGGGGTCTCTGTCTGTAAATCCTCAAAGGCTGCCGCAGGGAGAGCAGGTACTCGGGCTCACCTTCCTTAGTATTTGCAGATTGACCCATCCTCCCTTCCACCCAGCCTCCCTGGCCACCTGCCCAGATATCCCATCCTTCAGATCTCTGCTTAGATCTACCCCCCCACCTCCAGACAGCCTTCCCTGGCCCTTCAGTCAATAGGGAGGAACAGAAGTACTCTTTTGGACCTTAACCAAATGTTTCCCAGGGTATTCATTTAATGTGCTAGCTGTGTGACCTTGGGCAAGTCACTTAACCTCTCTGAACAGGGATAAGGAGCCCATAAACATTTTTATTTTTTCCTGTTTTGGCTGTTTTGCCAAAAAGGAAAATAAAAGTTGTTTTCTACTGTCTCTTTGACTCAGAAAAATAGAGATGATAATAGTACCTACTTTCCAGGGTCATTGTGAGCACATGGAAGTACTTGGCCCAATGCCTGGGACCTGGTAGGTACTCCATAGATGGTAGCTGCTATAGACTCTTTTTAATGGCTTTGTGTCTGTAAGCCTTATTTCCTTGTGAGGCTGTGAACTCCCAGGATGGTGTCTGCCCTTGTCTCTCACATGGACCAGTGGAGTGGAGTGGAGTGTGACAGCTAGTGACTTTTACTTTGGCCTGTTTTCCATCATCCCACTTCATGCATCCCTTTCCTTTGGGAAATTCCTCGCTGTTGTCACATAGTCCTGGTGGGCTGTCTGTTAAAGTGCCCACTGTTCCCACCCGTCCCTATCCCATTGCCAGCAGGTAGGCATGTGACCCAGACTTCACCAATCACAGAACCCCATTTTCCAGCACCAGTGATTGGCCCAAGGGGTGAGCGCATTCCCAAGCAGGGCCAATCAGACTCTTTCTCTGGGACTGATATATGGATGCGGAGAAGGAAGCCTTCTTTCCACTGGGACACAAAGCTTGATGCTGTAGTCCCAGGGCTGCAAACAAGTCATCTTTCCCCCTAAAAGTTGGATCCAGGCAAGGCAACAGAGGGGAGGGGAATTTAGAGAGCATGATAACAGCATTGCTGAGAGTCCCAATTTGGGCTCT